GCACTGGCGCCGCCGTCGCTCCCGCGGCGGCGCCGCACGTACTCCTCCCATGCGCCGCCGCCGAGCGCTTCCTGCAGCACGCCCTCCAGGTTCTGGGGCTTGGGGCCGTGCACCGCAACGCCCGCGGGCTTGTTCAGCACAAACCATTCACGGGTAGCGGCGATGACCCAGGAGCGCACGCGAGCGGGCGTCACGGCGGGCGGGCCGCCGGCGGCGGCCGCCGCGCGCGGGTCGTGCGTCGCGATTTGGGGCGCGGCGGGGGGCGGCCACGCCCAGTTGTCCTCTCCGCCGCGGGGCGGCGGCCGCTGCTGCTGCTGCTGCTGCTGCTGCTGCTCGTGAGGAGGGTCGTCCCTCTGCTGCCGCTGCTGCTGCTGCTGCTGCTGCTGTTGTCGCTGCTGCTGCCGCTCCTCGCCGGCCTCGCCCCACCGCTGCTGCAGCTCCTTGTGCTCATCCGCGCCGTCCGCCCACCGCTGCTGCTCCTCGCCCTCATCCCCCCTAAACGAGGCGGCGCCACGCGCCCGCCCCTCCTCTTGCCAGCCCCGCCCGCGGCCCCCGCCCGCCTCCTTGCCTCCGCGGACCGCCTCTCGCTCCCCCCAGCCCCCGCCGGCGCCGCCGCTGCCGCCGTGGCCGCCGCTGCCGCCGTGACCGCCGCCGCCACGCTCCTGCCCCCAGCCCCGCTGCTGCCCCGCCGCCGCCGCGCGCGGACCCCCGCCCGCGCCGCCCCTCTCGGCGGGGGCGGCGGCGGCGGCGGCGTCGATGTCGCTCAGCAGCGCGCGCGGCGCGAGCAGCAGCTCCCCGGGCGCCAGCTCCCTAGTCGCTCTGACCCTTTTGACCTTGCCATCCAGGTCCAGCAGCCGCACCTGCCGAGCCGTCGATGGTATGACAGGGGTTTAAGGTCAGGCGAGGCCAGCCCGGTGGCGCTGGGGTGCAGATCGGGGGGGCGCCGCGGCTGGCGGCAACTTGGGGGTGTGTACAGCAATGGCGCTCAGCGTCGCACGCAGGCAGGCATGCACGCACGAACGCGCTTGCATGTCGCGCGCGCACACGCACACACACACACACACACCCACACACACACATGCACACACACACACACGCATACACACACACGCACGCACACACACACCCACACCCACAAACACACTCACGCACACACACACACGCACGCACGCACACACACATGCACGCACGCACGCATGCATGCATGCACGCACACACACACACACACTATTCGCACCTGCCGCTGCCGGAACATCTTATGGAGGCGTGCGTGCCCGAGCTTCGTCGGGCTCCTTGACCGCAGCCATGACATCGCCGTCGGGGGCGGCATGCCCGGCAATGGCTCCTGTACCGGCGGCGTGAACATGAAGTCCCCGGAGTTCCAGGGCTCCGGTAGCTGCGCAGCCTGCCCTGCGGGAGTGACGCCGCACCGCCGCCGCACAGGGGGAGCGTCGCGCTGAGTGCGGCATGCGCGTTGAGTGACATGACAGGGAGGGGATTACAGCAGCAGCGCTACTGAGTAGTCACATGCGTTTCATTGCATGTGTTATACGTCACTTGCAGCACGGTATACGGCGGCGCGATCGCGGATATTGATCTGTGATAGTTTTTTCTGCTGCGCACCCCAAGCCATCCACTGCTGCGTTGAGGTTTTCAAGCTCCTGAATGCCGCCTGAAGCACGCCGCTTGACCCGCCATGCTGCCGGCTCGCAGCAGCAGCGAGCGCCGCCGCCGCTATCCACGCACTTCCGCCGCTGCTGATTGGCATGCCTTCGGTGGCAGTTATACATCAAGCTTTGAATGAAGATATCGAGCAGGAATCCTGTTGGAACATGAGATGCACGTGGCTGGGAGGTTGGCTGCAGCTGCAACACTTTGTCACGATGACTATGCACCATTCTCAAAGCTCATCCACCTTCCCGTGGGACACCTGGCACGAGCATCCCTGATATTCGTCACATACGAGGGGGAGGACGTATGCTGCACAGCACGGCAGGCTGTCGTCTCGCCGCGCGGGTGGATCAGCGGGCCCGACCGACAAGTCACCCGCCGCAGTGTCCCTGCAGGGTGCGGCGATGTGAGCAGCACGCCGGGGTTCCCGCCCAACCTCAGTTTAAGAAATACCAGAAAGAGCAAGCCGTTTGCTGGCTGGGCCAGTGGCCAGGGACGGGACGGGGTTCGCGCAGCTCCCACAATCCCACCCAGGTGAGGCGAGGCAGCTGGTGCCCAGCCACCCCTCCCTCCCACTCTTCCATCACCGCCACGGTTGGCATCACGATTTTGAGGTGGCAGTGCCCGCAAGTCGGCTCAGCAACGCTGTACGGCAGCCTGGTAGCGATCGCGCCCTGTGCAGTCCTTGCTAGCACGTATCGTAGCGTTTGCGGCCGCAGTAACTCGAATCCGACGCGGCTGCTCGGCGGTGCGCGCCTAGTGCTACTCGCACCCAGCTCCTGCAGCTTGCAAAGATGCATCCTCCACGTAGCGTCGCATTTAAGCGTTCAACAACGGAAGATCACACGAGCGCTGCCCTCGTTCTTTGAAATCCGATGCTCGCGGCCGGCGAAGGCGCGTGGGACTTCAGCCTGGCCCCTGGCGTTCGATGCGATAGCTTTTGCACCATTGACACCGACATGGAGGCCGCCGTGATGGAGGAGCCAGCGCGAGGAGGAGGTGCGCTGCAGTGCACTGTTTACGATCGACATCGTGGCACTCGCCCGTGATCCTGCAGGCCTTGCGATGGCCCAGAGCCTGCAAGGCACTATCTAAAGCAGCTGTACAGCTGCGGCCGAGGCCGCCCGGCGCTCTGACCTCGCGCGCCCCGACGCCACCCCCGGCTTCCGCCGCCCGCCTGGCTCGCACCCCAGGCGCCCCAGGCCGCGGCAAGCGGGGCTCCGCCGCAAAACGTGCCCCCGCCAAGCGTGACCCCGAGGCCCACCGTCAGTACTACTTGCACAAAAAAGCCGCGGTGAGCCATGCGCGAGGCCCACACGAGCCCGTAGCACACGAGGCTCGCACACCGCCCACGCTGCTGCTCCGGCCCGAACCCCTGCACGCCGCCGAGCTTAGCGCCGGCTCCGCCTCCCCCTGGACCTTGTGCCAAATTTGCCTGGCAATCCCCAGATGGCGAACTTGCAGGCGGAGGCGCGCTCAAAGCAGGAGATGGTTGAGCAGCTCGTTGCGCAGCAGAAGGCGCTCGTCACGCGGGAGCAGGCGCGTGCCATCGCATTCGCGCGCCGCGCCGCCGCGCCACACCCGCCCCTGGCCGCCGCCGCCGCACATGCCAGCGCGGCCGCGGCCACCTTGATCATCTAGTGTCCGTTGACCTCCCTTCTCCTCACCCCGCTCATTAAACCAACCCCCCAACCGAGACCCCCTGCCCAACCATCCCCAACCACCCTCAACCACCCCCAACCCACAGGTCCTGCAGCTGTCCATCAACGCGCGCGACCAGCAGATGGCTGTCATGGAGGAAATGCGAGCCCTGGGCATCCCAGTGAAGACGGCGGGCGCCGGCGCCCCCGGCCTGCCGATCGGCGAGGACGACGCGGCCAGTGCCGCGCCCCAGGCCATGCTTGCATTGCTGAAAGACACAGAGGCTGCGCTCGGCATCGCGCCGCCGCGCGACGAGCAGCGGCCGCCGCAAGAGCCGCGCCACGCGCGCAGCCGCAGCGGCGGCGCGGCCGGCAGCGGCGGCGGCGGCGCGGCCGGCGGGCTGTGCGGGCCGGAG